AGAAAGCAGGCTCCAGAGGTCATGGGTCCTTCCCGCCCCCGCCCCCCCCATGCCCTCCAGAGGCGGGAAAGGGCTTGGAGAGAGTTGTTTACAGGGTCATGCATGGGAAGCAGCCTTGTCAGCCTCCCTCCTCCCTCAGCGCTTCGGAACCAGTCCCCTATTGGTTGACTTTTCATGCTGGAGGGGAAGGATCTGTGTTGGGGGAGGAGGCTGAAGTCCTGGAGGGGCCCCGGGGTAGGGGGAGTCTGGAAACTCCCACCAACCCTGCAGGGGCTCCCTTCTCACTTACCCTGAGCTACTGCAGTCCAGAGACTGAGGCCTGCGCAGGGCTGTCCTAGAGGCTGTGCCTGGAGGGCTGCTTGGTTCCCCCCCACCCCCCCATAAAACCACGAGTGGCAGCAGCTTGAGGCGGGGGTGGGGGGTGGGGAGGGCCACATGTGCAGCAGGAGGGGCTGCCTTCTCAGGACCTGGAGGGTCAGCCGAGTGACCTGCAGCCAGGGATTGTGACCTCCACCTCCTCCCTGACTCTAATTCCAGACGCCTCAGGATTCGTGTGTGTGTGTGTGTGTGTGTGTGTGTGTGTGTGTTTTGGGGGGGCTCCTCTCCTGCCCGCACATGTGCCCCCCACACAGAGGCAGGCCGGTCGCATGGTCTCTGCTCCCCACACCACATCCCACACCTAAACCTTAAGTTTCTGCCTTTTTTTAAGAAAAGCTTTTCTTTTGAGCCCATTTCCAAGGGGCCATGACCTTCTAGCTTCAGCTATGACCATCCATCCTCAGCCATGACCTTCCAGCCTCAGCCTCACGCTATCTACCTCCGCCTGGTCTGTCGTTATCATCTGTCCCCATCGCGTGCTATCTGCCATTTACACTGCAGCTGGCTCACTGCCACCCGTGTCCTGCCACCACCCAGGTGAGCCAAGCCTACGTGGAGAAGCCACTTGTCACTTTGGCCTCCCAACTCCCGACCCATCACCTCATGCTTCATCTGCTGACACCCGGGCTGCATCTGCCATGGGCCCTGGTGGCAGCCCCTCCACCCTCGGCCACAGCTCTCAGCTCTCAGCTCCACTTTCCCTGATGCATGCCTGGGAGACATCCATCAGCATGGCCTCTTCCTCCCACAGGCCAGCCTCCTGGTTTTGAAAGGACAGAACAGGACTGATAGCTGTGTCCTTAACCCCTCTTCCAAGAAAAAGCTGCAGAATGTATCAGTTACTCAGCCTGCCCTTATCTCGGCCAATGGGAAAGCAGGGGAAACCAGCCCAAGGCCAAAAGTATGCTAGCCACCGCCCGTGTCTTTGTGTAACCAGACCCTAGCTGCACCCTGCCTTGCATCACTAGCCCCCGGCCCTCACTCAACCAACCAGAATTGGCCAAATCAGTAGTCAGAGTGTACCCCCACCCCCGACCCCAAGCCCAATAAATTCTTTGTTCTCTTGGGACTCGGGGCTCTCTCTTGCATCCAGTAATGGAGGCGGGGTGGGGGGGAGGGTGGACAACCAAGCGAGCTTGAATAAAAGACTCTCTGCTTTGCATCGGATTTGGTGCTCCCTGGTGGATCTTTGGGGGGTCTTGAGATCTGGGCATAACATTTGGGGGCTTGTGCGGGACCCCCAAGACTCACAAGGGACCCTGATTCGGAGAGTCTGACTGACCGTGGTAAGTGTCTGTGTGTCGTCTATTCTGTTCTGTGTGTTCTGTCCTGTGTGAGCTCACTTCTGAAATCAGTAATGCCTGTAAATGGTCTAAGGTGGACGCACTTGGGGGGCCACAGGTGGGAGGAGTCGGGGGACGCCCCGATCCTCCATCTGGAGGGGTGCAGAAACCCCTCAATCTGAGACGAGGCAGGTTGCTCCTGCTGGTTTGGCATAAGGCCATTGTCTAGTTGCTTCCATGGAGTTGGAAGACTGTATTTTTGGGCCCCTTTAGTTTTCTGTGTTTGTATATTTTTTTGTGGACTTACTGGACGGACGTTATGGGACAGACTCAAACTACTCCTTTAAGCATTATGGTCATTTTAAAGTCAAAGGCTGTACCAAACCTGCTTGCCAGCCTCAGGTGTGGTTTTCCAGAGCTGCTGGGAACTTGGGACCTTGAAGCTTACTGAATTCAAATTATAAAAAAACTTATGTCTTGCATTTTTGAAGTTTATTCTTAAAAATGTTACTGATTAAGAAATGCTGAATATTTGACTTGCCAGCTAAAAGTTTAAGGTTCAGATTGAATTGGGAAAAACTGTGTGTTGTGGTAGCTACAAGCCTTTGCTGAATGAATGTCTGGTGAAAGTATGTGAGTGTGAAGGGAGGGGGCCTGCCCTCTCCTCTCCTTTGTGTGGCTTCACAACTTTGGTCTGAATGAAAATCTGTGAAAACAGGTCACCCCCTCCCTTGTCTGTCTCTCGTCACTGATCATCATGAGGTCGGGACAAAGTTTGTTTGTGTGGGACTAGCCAATTTACTACAGAGAAGGGGGACTGGAACTGGTCTGTGTAAAGCGAAAGCTACTCTATGCTGTCTGGCTGTACACATAAAAACAAAACAAAACCCTGCTTTAAGGAAAAGACAGTAAAGAACTTTTAATTGCTTTACTCTGAGGTATAATTTTGCTGTATCAGGTTAAAATTTTAAAAATCTAGAATTAATTTAAAGGTATAAGATTGCAACCCAAAGAACTTTAACAAAGGCTAGCTAGATTCCAAGATTGCTTAGTTCTGAGATTGCTTATACAAAAGAGCAAGAGAAAAGTATTTTCAAGTTAACTGTTTGCTTAGCAAATTAACAAGGTAGTAAATTTCAAAGAACTTGTTTTTTATGGTTTTACAGCTCTGCAGGGTGGAGAAATTTACTGCCTGTGATTGTGTTTTATTTAACTTGCTGTTTTCAATTATTTATTAGAATCCTTATAGAAAACGTAACCTGGTCTTTCCCTTCCTCCCTCATCCTGATTCTGAAAGCATCTATAACTGGATTTCAGATAGTGTCCAGGCTTTCTGTCTGCAAGAAACCTCCCTATACACCTGTTACCTTTCAAGGCCGACTCTCTGAGGAAAAGCAATCAGCCTGGGCTGAGACAAGGGGGGTGGGGGAGGAACAAAGCCAAAGTCTGCAGCCACCCTGGTGATTTAGAACTGTTTGCCGGGCAGACTCAGCCTCTGAGAGCCAGGTCAAAGAAGGGGGGCTGGATGCCTGAGCTGAGCTGCTACAGCCCTGAGAGAAGCAGCAGCAAGCAAAGTAGAAAAAGCTGTGGATAGAGCTAGCAGAAGCTCTCTGTTTGCAAATGTACTGAAAGGGTTTAGTACCTGTTGCTACTGGAAGAGGAGGGGCTAATATCCCCTTCCAGTGCACTCCCTTGGAAGAGGCCTGATTGCTGCTCTGCCACAAAGGGAACTGATAGAAAGGCAAAAAAGCAAGGCCCTAAGGGTTAACAAAAAGGCACTCTCCCTGGACCTGGGAGCTATCAGGACTTTGAAATTCTCCAAGAGAGAAGGAGTCTGACTCAGAGACTGGCCGAAACTTCGTTGGGTTAGGAGGACCGGAGGCTGCATATTGAACTTACAGACTGCAGTTTGCTGGGCAGGGGG